CTTTTCTCTCCAGTGGGAGTGAGGTACAGCCATTGTTGCAGAGCAGTGCTGACCTGATAGGTTCATTGCGCTTTGCTTTTGTTGCACTGATTTGTTCCAGTGTTCAGCTCAGTGATTGTCAGCATGCAGCTTCCTGAGCTGCAGTGCTTGGCTTCTATTCAGTTTGCTGTGTTTGTGGTGCAGGGATTGTTTTGCAGCCGCAGTGTTGCCCTTGTACATTAGTGTCTACAGCTCTGCTGTTGCGAGTGAATGAGTGATGAAGGTGGAGGCAGGCTACTTGGAGAGATTACAGAGAAGTAGCTAAGGTATGCAGGGAGGAGGTTAGGAACGCGAAAGCCCAACTTGAGCTCAGGTTGGCCTCTGCAGTAAAAGACAATAAAAAATCCTTTTATAAATATACCAATTGTGAAAGAAGAACCAAAGATAATTCTCATCCTATACTTGATGCAGCAGGGAATGTGGTCACTGAGGACAAGGAGAGGGCTGAGGTTCTCAATTCCTTCTTTACATCTGCCTTTAATAGCCAGATCAGTTATCCTCTGGGCTTTTTATGCCCCGATCTGGAAGTCTGGGACGCTGCTCAGAAGATGCCCCCAGCAGTTCCGGTGGAGGCAGTCAGAGAGGTCCTCCTCCGTCTGGACTGTCACAAGTCCATGGGACTGGATGGATTGACTACACCCTCGGGTGCTGAGGGAGCTGGCAGGGGTGATTGCTGAGCCCCTCTCAGCCATCTATCAATGCTCCTGGTTAACTGGTGAGGTCCCAGAGGATTGGAGGCTTGCTGATGTGCCTTCCATCTTCAAGAAGGGCCATAAGGAGGATCTGGGGAACTATAGGCCTGTTACCCTGACCTCGTTACCAGGGAAGGTTATGGAGCAAATCATCTTGGATGAGATTGCACGGCATGTGCACTGTGTCCAGGGCATCAGGCCCAGCCAGCACAGGTTTGTGAAAGGCAGGTCGTGCTTGACCAACCTCATCTCCTTCTGTGACTGGGTGACCAGTCTGGTAGATGAGGGAAGGGCTGTTGATGCAGTCTTGTGTATGGGAACTGCTGAGTCACGGCCTGAACCTCTGATTGATCACCTGAGGTGAGCCATGAGGCAGCCACAGGAGCACAGGTGAAGGCAATTCACCTGTGCTGCCGGAAGGGGTGGAGACTGGCTGCACCCCTCCTAGACCTATTGAAGAGCTGGCTACCAGTGGAGAAGGATCTCGTCTGGAGATCACCTCTTCTGGTGTTTTGTGGGTGAGCCCAGCATAAGGGGCCCAGCATAAGCCTTGCATTTATTCTCTTTTGTTATCACAGTCTACTTCGCCTAACTCTCTTGTTTATTTTGTGATTATAATATCTTAATATCCATCGATAATACATCTTCCTAGACTTCAGCAAAGCCTTTGACACATCCCTCATAGGCTTCTTCTGGGGGAACTGGCTGCCCGTGGTCTGAACAGATATACACTTCTATGGGTAAGGAACTGGCTAGAAGGCTGTGTCTAGCGGGTCGTGGTGAATGGAGTGAATTCCAGCTGGCGACCCGTTTCAACTGGTGTCCCCCAGGGGTCGGTACTGGGGCCCGTCTTATTTAATATCTTTATTGATGACTTAGATGAGGGGATTAAGTGTACCCTCAGTAAATTTGCAGATGACACCAAGCTGGGAGGTGGTGTCGATCTTCCTGAGGGCAGGGAGGCCCTTCAGAGGGATTTAGACAGGCTGGACCGCTGGGCTGAGGTGAATGGGATGAGGTTCAACAAGGCCAAGTGTTGGGTCCTGCACTTTGGGCACAACAACCCCATGCAGAGTTGTAGGACTGGGGATGAGTGGCTGGATGACTGTGAAAAGGAAAGGGACCTGGGGGTGTTGGTTGATGCTCGGCTGAACATGAGCCGACAGTATGCCCAGGTGGCCAAGAGGGCCAATGGTATCCTGGCCTGCATTAGAAATGGTGCAGCCAGCAGGAGCAGGGAGGTGAGCATCCCCTGTACTCAGCACTGGTGAGGCTGCACCTCGAGTACTGTGCTCAGTTTTGGGCCCCTTGCTACAGGAAAGATATTGTCCTGGAGCATGTCCAGAGAAGGGCAGCAAAACTGGTGAGGGGTCTGGAGCACAAGTCTTATGAGGAGCGGCTGAGGGAGCTGGGATTGTTCAGTCTGGAGCAGAGGAGGTTCAGGGGAGACCTCATTGCACTCTACAACCTCCTGAAGGGAGGTTGTGGTGAAGAGGGATTTCGCCTCTTCTCCCAGGCAATGAGCAGGACACGGGGTAATGGCCACAAGTTGTATCAGAGGAGGTTTAGATTAGACATAAGGAAAAACTTTTTCTCTCAGAGAGTGGTCAGGCACTGGAATGGCTGCCCAGAGGGGTGGTGGAGTCGCTGTCCCTGGCAGTGTTCAAGAGGTGTCTGGAGGACGTGCTGCGTGATGTGGTTTAGTGCTGGTGGTGGCAATGGTGATAAGGAGACGGTTGGACTAGATGATCTTGTAGGTTGTTTCCAACCTTTGATTCTATGATTCTATGATTTAATAGGGATTTCCAAGATGTGTTCTCATGGCTATCCTGCTCCCATCTGAGACATACCAGGTGTTGATTTACAATCTTCCTTCTTGGTCTTTGCAGGTTGGCACAGGTGAGATGGAGTCGCTACAATCCCAGCTTCCTAGAGCCAGAAGTGAACAAAGAATTGTATCAGAAACCTTTTAATGAGCTGTCTGAAGAGGAAAAGGAAAAGCAAGAGCTTAAGGCTGTTCGTCCCATAAAAGCAGCTCCTCCTAGTATCTCCAGCTCCGTTTTCAGCGACCCTATGATCAGGTCAGAGGAAGCACCATCTCTGTTAAACTAGGTCCTATGGAGCCAGATACTTGGGAGCTGGACTATCCTTCTTGGCCTTTTTTTTGCTGTGCTGCACGTTGCCTTCTGTAACAGCACAATCTCTTTTTTGAGTTAATCTTTTCCCACAAAGCCAGTCTATTAACTGATAGTGATTAGAGATAGTTTAAGCAGATCTAGCAGCGCCCAGACTTAAGCATGTGAAAAACGCAAGGGTGGAGACACTTATTTTGCAAGTGATAAACTGAGAATTTAAATCAGATTGCTTTTGTGTTCACAGTAAATTCACCAATATGATGATGAAGGATGGAAATAAAGTGCTGGCCAGAAGCCTCATGGCTCAGGTGAGTGCTCATGCTTCTTCCTTCTAACTCTTAATGCCTTATATTCTGTATGCTTTCCAATGAAGGCCCACAAATGTGTCACTTGTATGACACATTTTCAACCCCTGCTCTGACCTACAATAATTGGTATTAGCTGGTGTTGTTCCAGCTCTTAAAATGGGGATATGTGTTGCCCAAACTGCTAATTACATAGGCTGTGGGATCCTGAACACCAGGCTTTGGAGGAGAAGATGCTTCACGCACACAGATCCATATTGCTGTCTCTGCTTTTTCCCATCCCTCCCTCAGCACCTGTCCCAGGTCATGCTACTTGACCTCCTCACCTCAAATGCAATGTCTAAGGAAGATACTGAGAATCTGGAAGAAAGTGAAGTAAAATTACTTGAGTAAGAGAATCCCTGATGGGCCTGTTACCTGTAGGACTAAAAAACCAGCTGTAGGTTCAATTGTATATGGAATTCTTGAAAAAGTGGTATAATTCCATGGGATAATCTATCTGCTCTGCCTATCTCCTTTCTTGACTTTATCTCAAGACTTTAGAGAACATTAAGAGGAAGCAACTGGAAAAGTACCACAGAGCTCCAGATGATGAGAAGGAGACAGTTGAATGCAACCCTTATGTCATTTTCCACCAGGCTCTGAAAAACTGCCAGCCTATCATTGGACTCAGCAACATCACAAGAGGTGGCAAAACCTACCAGGTGATATGAGGGGGTCTTGAGCACATCTGGTCAGGGGAGAGTTAGCTAGGGAAGCAAATGTGTTAGTTGCTACCCCTTCAGCTCAGCCATTCCTCTTCCCCAGGAAGAAAAGCAGTTTGCAATCTGGATTAAAACGACACCTATCCAGGATTACAGCCCTAGCCTGTGAGCATGGTAATTTCTGATGAAGACAGACTGAGAGAGCTGGGCTTGTTCAGTCGGGAGAAAAGACATCATTGCAGCCTTTCAGTACCTAAAGGGAGCCTACAAACAGGAAGGGAATCAACTCTTTGAAAGGGTAGATAACAGCAGGACAAGGGGAAATGGGTTTTAAGTGGAGGGAGGGGAAAATTTAGGTTGGATGTCAGGGGCAAGTTCTTTGCTATGAGAGTGGTGAGGTGCTGGAACAGCTGCCCAGAGAGATTGTGGATGCCCTGTCCCTGGAGGTGTTCAAGGCCAGATTGGATGGGACCCTGGGAAGCCTGGTCTAGTGTTAAAGGGAGAGGTTGGTGTCCCTGCATGTGGCAGGAGGGTTGGAGTTCCATGATCCTCGAGGTCCCTTCCAACCCTGGCCATTCTGTGATTCCCTTAGAGGCATTAGTCGGTTTCTCTGACTAGATAAGAAGTAGGATATTGTTGTGATTTAACCCAGCAGATAGCTAAGTACTACACAATGATTCACTTACCCCCTCCCCCTTCCCACCCCAGTGAGATTGGGGAGAGAATTAGGACAAAATGCAGTGGAATTTGTGGATTGAGATGAAGACTATTTACTAAGAAAAAAAAAGTGAAAGAAAATAACAGTATTTATACATACATATATATACATATATACATATATGTATATATGTATATACATAGACAAAAAAAAAGGGATACACAAAAGCAATTGCTTACCACCCAACAGCCAATGCCCAGCCAGTCCCCAAGCAGCAGCCTCTGCCCAGCTAACTGCTCCCTTATATTTGCATGATGTCATATGGTATGGAATACCTCTTTATTCAGTTTGGATCAGCTGCCCTGGGCCTGTCTCTTCCCAGTCTCCTTGCTGGCAGAGCAATACAAGAAGCTGAGGAGCAGGAATGTCCTTGGAACTGCTCAGCAATAAGTATAAACAATGGTGGGTTATCAGTTTTGTTTTTCTTTTAATGCCAAACATAGTGAAAACTTTGAGGAAAAACTGATTTCAGTGGAACTAAGACAGATATGAAGCAAACATTGCCTAAGGAGTCAGAGATCAGTGGAAGGCAGCAAAAGAATCGGCAGTACTAGCGCTAGCGGTCCCACCCTCTTTGCTACATCATGGCACTTGAGTAGAAGCTCCAAAGCTCTGACTTAGGTCACCGTAGCAGAAAAGATCAAAGGTAACAGTACAGGCTGCTGTCGCTCTCTGTACAGTAACTGTTGTGGTTTAAATGTGTCCCAGGTCCCGGTGCCTTTGAAGGACAACCGGAAGCGCTTCTTGGCCATGAAGTGGTTAATCACTGAGTGCAGGGAGAACAAGCACCGCCGGACGCTGATGCCTGAGAAGCTCTCCGAGGAGCTGATCCAGGCCTTCAACAACGAAGGACCCATCATCAAGAAGAAGCATGTGCTGCACAAGATGGCAGAGGCCAACCGGGCTTATGCCCACTTCCGCTGGTGGTAGGGCCGCTGCACGGGGTGCACACACTGCAGAGCTCTGTCACTGCTCTCAAGACCTGGGGAGCGGAGTCCCAGGGCCACCTGGTTGAGAGAAGCTGGGGATTAGAGGGAAAGGTGGAAAATCCCTTCTGGACAGCTTCTGAACTAAGCCAAGGAAAGTTTCTCTAGTCCCCACACAGTTCATTTGCTTTGTGCTTATCTGGATGGGAAAAGGGGGAATCTGAAGTAGTTACTGATCCCTGCACAGATATACTCGTTTTTCGTAATCACTTTCCTGTGGAGACAAGCTTTAGATGCAACGCTGTACAAAATATTCTACTTAATGTGTTTCCTAGAGACTTTTAAATCTCTGCTCTTGCAGCAACATTTTTCTCTTTCTGGCTGCATAAGTAGGAAAGAGCAGATCTGGAGGGTTTTTTCCCGCACCATAACTAGCCTTGACTTTCAGTTCTGCTCATCAGCAACATTGCATGGATGTCAGGGAGATGTTAACAGAAAAAAAATAATACCAATGCTTTATGGAGAAGGTTTCTTGATTCCAAACCTTTGTCTGTTGCTTCAATCGCACACTGTTCTTTCCAGCTTCTCTGGTTGCATGAACCCCCTCTGTCATTCTATTCGGGAAGAAATAATTAACATCACAACCTTCTTGCCTCAGTCAGGACCAACTTTTTAGTATTGCTTACATCTCAGCAGATGCTCAGAGAGAAAGCAGAGCACATGTTAGTGGAAAACTTTTATTACAAAAGACACCCAATAGACTATTTTGTTTTCTTTCTTCCTTCCCCATTCTTATTCTCATACCATATACAAACATACCATACTTGAACCTTAATAGATTTTGAAAAGACCCAGAACAGTTACTGTATAAAACATATAAAAAAAGCTTGTTTCTAGCTACATGTGCTCGAGAACCCTTATCCTGCTGAAGACTGCCAGCAGATATTGGTAGCTAACAACCCACAGTCATACACCTATGCAGATACTGCCAGTCTGCTGGAAGTAATCAGTGGAAAGCAGCAATTTGGTGAGCTATTTGTGATGTATCTGACCACAGTATTTTCTGTAACTTTTCCTAAACAACCTGGTCTGGGACTGTGAGCTGTGAAACATTTCTCCTTTGCCTCCCTCAGCAGTGTTGGCTCTTGGCTCAACCACCATGCTCTCAGCTTTCCTTAATACTTGTATAAAATGCTGGTTTAAGCCTTCCTTGCCTTCTGCTGGCAGCAGCCCATCATTAAACAAAATGAGTGGAAGAACTTGCTGGTTTCAGTGTGCCCCCCTGCCTAAATATCCAAAATCAGGCTAGCACCGGTCACAGACTGATAGATGACAGTTAAATACCCAGAGGCTTTAGCCAGGATAAATCCTATTTACAAGAAGTGCTTAAAAAAAGAAATTCAAACTTGGTATGAAGCTTGCTGGTGAAAGTGCTGTGGACATCTCTCCACCTCTGCTGTAGAGGGCTTAATCTGTCACTTCGCTATAATAATATTTCTGGGCAGCATCTGTCATCTTCCAGTCAGCAGCCCGAAACTCAATGATCTCCAGCAGCAGGAGCTGTGACAGGGAGCTGAGCCCCTCCTGTAAAAGGAAGCCATCTCGAAGGAGTGAGAAGAGCTCATCCATCCGCTGGGAGTTCATCTTCTCCAGCTGTTCACCAATGCGGTGGAGCTGTAGGACCAAGCAGTCCACCTTCAGAGGGAAGAGAAGGAGATGGTTGAGTACAAAGGAATTAAGAACTTTGGTGTATCACTGGAGGCCCCATCAGTCACTTCTGGATCAACTCATGCTGCTCCTTCTGCTCTGAATTTTCAAGAGGTGACAGTTCTGTTCCCTCAAGTTGCTGTGATCCAGAAGGCTGAATGTCTGGAAAGTGCTGGGAAAACACATCCTGAAATCCCCTACCTTGTGAGCAAAATTGCCAGAAAAATGAACCATTAATAGTTTTACCTTTCTGCAGGATGCAGAACGAGTTGGCAAGACTGAAGGCAGAAGCTGGAGTAAGAACAGAGGGAAATAGGTGGAACACTTTCTAGAAATCCTAGAAAGTCAGGAGATGTACAGGAAATGGGCACAGACTGAATCTTTGGATAGGAGGGGTAAGTCAGTGAATCACAGGGATGGGAGATTTGTGCTGAGGAAAAAAAAAACAACAAAGGGCCCCATCCAAGGTCTCATACACTTTACAGTAATCCATGGGCAGCTCAAACATGCCCTGAGTATGTTTCTGCACCTCTATATGCTGACCAGACACATATAAAGCTACAATTCCAGAAGAGCCTGGAGCCTGCTGGCATTTGGCACAGCATCAGCTCTGCAGGCCCAGACGGATGAGCAGCAGCTACACAAAACATTGTGCATGTCACTGAGACCTGCAGGACACACACAGAAACTCTGTAGGCATGCAGCCACTGCAGTATCTGCCATCACCTCCCATGGCTGCAGTGCCCCAGTACATCAGTCTGACAGCTGCTTTTCCAGATGTCCAGCAACTGGGGTTGCCAGAAAAGCAGCTGCTTTCTGTGAAAATAAGAGACAGTAGTTACGTTTTTCTTGTATGATGGGAGATGAACTTGCAGAATGCTAGACATCCCTTATCTCAAGGATTGTCTGTGCTGCTGGGTCTCTGCAGCAGTCTGCAGCCAGTAATGACATAGCCACAGGGAAAAAAAAAAGCTATGCAAGAGAAGGATGTGTAGCATGGGCAAAGGAACCACAATTAGCACCTCCATCCTGCTTCCTTCTGCAGTGCAAGCCCTCTTGTCCAGTAGGTTTACTTCCAGCATGTAATGGGGAGGAAGGCTCCTGCCTGGCCGTAAAGCTCTCTTCACCCCCTAGAGCTGTGCTTTTTGCTTGTCCTTAACTGAACAAAGGGTACATGACCAACCCTCCTCACCTCTTCTTCCTTCTGCAGGCTATCATGCTGTGCTAGTCGGAACAGACAGTCGTAAACAGGGTTCACCAAAGCCATCATGGGCATGTTGTTCACCTGTAAAGAGGCAGGAGCTATTGTCAGCTTGGTGGCAGAAGGGGAAGAGTCTCTTCGGCTATTTTAGATAATTCTTCTCTTGCTGCATTTCAAAGAAGGGAAAAAAACTGTGCTGCCAAATGCAGTAATGGTGTTATTTACATAGAAAACCAGACTTTTGACTCTCCAACAGCCACAGAAACTCAACAAGCGATGAGGAAACATCTATTTTTAAATGTAAACAGGTAGTTATGGGAAATACACTTCTTGTATCAGCATTCTTCCTGTCTGCAGGAATTGCATCACTTTTACATCCACACCAAGCAGGCATCTAAAGCACACACTGCAGCAAAGGCTTGCAGATAAATTCCATTATTATGTGGGTTAGAAATTATTTGATCACCTAAGTGACTAAACAAAATGCAGTTACCCTTAGACTTAACAGCAACTAGTTTGATCTAGGATATTCAGAACAGGTTAAATGAGGGGATTTCAAACACCAGGTATGAAACACAGTAGCTCAGACTTTGTGACTGTCCCCAGAGCCACCTCTGCCTCTTCAAGGCTGATTACTTGCTCGTGTGTAGCAATAACCTGGGAGCATCCTCATTCTGAGAACTGGCTTTAGTCCCACTCTGCTGAGCTGTGGCCCTGGGATGTTGTAACACACGTTTGACACTTCTGCCCTGGGCCCCTCTGGTACCCTTCAGCCAGGTACTCCTGCTCTGGCTCCTTACCTTCAGGTAGTCAAAGATGTTGCAGATGAATGTGACATAGCAGATCCACGCCTGCAGCGACCGGTTGCGCAAATCCTCTCTGTCCTTGTACTCCTGCTGCAGCCGGTTCAGCAGGCTCCTCCGGAAGATGCTCTGGCCGACCTGTTTGCTCTCTGCCTAAGACCCCACAAAAGCAGGATGGAGGGATGAAACTGGGGCAGAGAGGGGCAGGGGGGATGGGGATTTGGATGTTGCAGGACCATCCTGATACCCTCCTGTGATGCCCAGAGACATAGAAAGGCTGCAGCTGTCTGCACCCACCAGCTGCACATCTGTATCCTGCCAGTGCAGGGGCCAAGTGGAAGAAGGGAGATGCTAGCTGAAGAGTCAGAGTGCAGGGCTAGAAGATGTCCTGGCCTAGCACAGGTTAGCAACATTTTACTGTCCAGACACAAATATCTCTTACCTGGATGATGGTGTAGCAGATGCGCCCTGCCTCTTTGCTGAACACACAGTCTTTGAGGGACTGGTCAACTATAACATTGGCCACTTTGTCCAGGTCCACATTGCTGGGGTCTGTAGAGAGGAGAAATACTGTCTGGATCCAATATTTCTTGTGCCTTGCTTGCTCCAACATACCTGGGAAGTAACCAAGGTTGGCATGGAGCACCATACAACTATGTCATATGGTACAAAAACTCATGCTCACTCCCACAGTCCCTCTTGCACACCATCTGCTTTGGAGATACCACCTCCAACAACTGCACAGGCTTTTCAGGCTGGACACAGCCATAAAGATGCAAAAGTGATGGAGAAAAACATGGTAATGAAGGGAGGCAAGAAGTTGATCTGTATCTGAAGTCCCAGCACTGCTTTGAAGTTGGGCTAGTGGCAGACAGATAAGCAAATTCCCACCAGGCTTTGAATAGAGACATGACCTGTGAGCAGGAGACACTGGGGGACAGGGTGCAGAAACTGGGCACAGAGAGAAGAGTGAGGGGCAAGATCTGAAGAGAGATGCTGAGTGAGAACAAGAGAAGAAGGCACCAGTGATGAGAGAAAAGCACTATGATGAGCATGGTCCTCTGAGAACCTGGATTTGAACAGCTAGCCCACGATTCAACAATAAGGTAGAGGTGGGAGAGAAAAGGCAGGGAACAAAGAACCTCCTGGAGGGATTCAGTCCCGTATCAACAGCGTTTATGAAACAGCTTTTCTACGCTTAGCAATTGGTGACAGCAGAAGGGGCCCAAGTATCTAGCCACACCAGTGAGCCAAGCTGAGTGTGGTAGAAAAGCTAGAAAAAACCTGCTGACCTTTGAGTGCTGTTTTCAGCAGCTTCTGAGTCTCAATGTCAAACGACTGTATTTTATACTCTTCTTTGCCTGTTTCCCCCATGACTGGCTTCCTCCAACAGCAAGAATCAGGGGAACAGATGTGCTAGCAGCAGCCCCTGTGAAAAGAGCAAACAGGACTTAGTTGGCCAGAGAGCCCAGACCTCCACCTAGCCTGGCAAGTCCCATCCAGTCCTGGAGCCCAGACTTCTACCTCAGCCCTCCAGAGAATAAGAAGTATCCTGTTAATACAGCATCCAGCTCCAGCCCTAAGTCTGGGCAAAGACCAATTCCCACATTTTTTTAAGTCTTGCTTCCTACTAGCTTATGACAAGGAACTTTTGGGCTGCATCTTACATTCTTCTGATGTGAAAATCAGTCTATTGATTTGCAGATTTAAGGACAGCACACCAAATCAATCCCCCAAAATAACTGTCTTCGTCCAGAAGGCTTCCCTGTGGTTACACCAAGGAGAAGTACGTATGCAGGAGCACTCCATGCAGCCACTCTTTTGTGCCTTTGAAACAGCAATTCAGATGATTTCACACAAAGCCTGGGAAGATTCAAAACCAACACCTAAGCAATCCAATCCACACTCTCCTCCTGCAACGGAATGAGGTCCCTTCAACTCCCAGAACACAGCAGAACACCGGAAAATGTTCAGCCAAATTCCAGCACGGCTTCTATCTCATCTTTTTGCAGCTCTCTGCAGTGTTGAATAATCTCTAGATTAATTTTTTGCTGGTTTGTGAGGCAGCAAAGATGGCAAGAGGGTAGATACGGCACAGAGGCAGGGTTTCCTCTGACACACACAAGACATTCTGCAGGATGAAAAATGCCAGGCTACCAGACCTGCAGCACAAACAGGGAGAAGGCAATTTAACAAATTAGTTTTGCCAGCTCTTTGAAATTCCTCATCTGTTGCTCACTGCTCTGTGCAAAAGTTCCCTTCCACAATTAAAGCTGAAGAGCTTGTTGCCCTTTAGAGGCGCATCGACGGATCACAAACAGCCTGACCCACGGATGCTCTCCTTTCCACAAAGCTGTGGCACAACACATTAACAACCCACAGCATTCGGCAAAGCTTGCTGGCACAGAAGAGGCCCAGGTCTGCCCTCCTTGGTGCCTTTTAGGGAGGCCCATGGCAGACCCTGCCCCATCGGGGCTGCCACAAACCTACAGCACTCACAGCTTTCCTCTGCATACTATTACTTACCTCCAGACTGCACTAACGTTTCCTCCCAGATGGATTCACAACAGCTGGGCACCCCTACACCGTGTCCAGCAGGAAGACCCCTTCCAATCTAAGCTGTCCCCTATTTGCACTGTTCTCTCTCTGTGTACCTGCACTCAAACCGCTCTTCATGGCAGCCTGAGCTCACCGGCAGGCCCACGTCCTACCGACAGCACAGCCCATGGCGAAAACCTAGCCAAAGCGTGGCAGGGCAGTGAGGCAGCACAAATCTGAGCCCGTCCGGCAGCGTCTCCGCCGTCACCGCCCTCTGCCTCCCCGAGAGCTTCACGGGATCCTCGGGGGCGGAACGGCCACTTTGTGCAGCGCCAAGTAACCCTGCCCAGAGCAACCTGAAAGGCGTGAGCATAAAAGCAGCACCAGAGTGAGATCTTGCCGCTTGGTCTGTCAGCCTGGCGGCAGTGCCCTTAGCACAGTTATCTCCAAGTATCCTACCGAAAGCACACCGTGATAAGCCATCTTAGTGCGATCTGGAGGGACGTGGTTGGGGTGAGCACTCCTGACCCGCCAGGGCCTGGTACCCCGCCAGGTGCGAACCATCACAGCGGCGGGGAGGAGAGCAGCGAGCCTCCTTTCCCACCACCGAGCCGTGGCCACCCGCGGCCGTCCGGAGCACCCAGTGTCGCCCGGTCCCGACACCGCCTCCTAGTCGCCGGACTCCCAACCCTCACTCAGGCCCAGCGGCCCCGGGGACAGAACGGGGTTGGACGGTCCCGGGGAGCTCCTGGCAGGGCGCGGGGGGGGGGGGGGGGGGGGGGAAGGACCGGGCGCGGCCGCACCGACCTGCCGGGCCGCCCCTTGCTCCTCCAGCCTCCGAGGCTGCGCAGGGCGGACCGCGGAACGCAGCGCCATCACCGCGGCGCCCCGGACCCGCTGCGCCGACACCGCCCCGGGTTTCCTCTTAGGTCATTTCCTCGCCCGAGACGGGGAAGGGCGGGAGGGGGCAGGGCGAGGGCCGGGCCGGGCGAGCGCCTGCAGCGCCACAGCCGGCAGCACAGGGCCACGGCGGGGCGGGGCCGGCGCCGGCGCCGCTCCTCCCCGGGAACCCCCCCAGCACCGCCGGCCGCCCCCGAGATCCCACCTCACCCCCCCCCGGTGCTGTGAGGGCCGCGCTTACCTCATCGCGCCTCGTCTCGCCGCGCTCCGGGTGAGAATCGCGCTTATTCCCCATTCACGTCAGGGTGAGCTGCAGCAGAGCAGCTCCAAGCCCCTGCTGTGGTGCTGCTTGCTGCCGAGTATAAAAATTAGTATGAAAATTCATGGAAAAGGAGATTAAACACCTCACGCTTTCAAGAGCTTGCTGAATGCAGTGTAACTCATACGGAGCACAGTTTTTTTCTCTCAGGTCGGGAAGATCATTCAGCTCTTGACGTTACTGCAGCTTTTACCAGACAGCAATGCAGCCAGAACGCTGAAAATGGAAAACAGCCAGAGGAAATGCAGAGTGAGCAGTTTGTAACATTTTCTGCAGCATTGTGTGGCCTGGCTGAAAACAAAGCCTGAAATCCTTCACCGTGGATTTGCGGCTCAAGACAAAGCCCTGGCTGTGACTGTTTTGTGCAGTTCCCAACGATACTCAATGCAGAGAGGATAGCACAGCTCTGCCTGCCAATGGCTCCCAGGAAGCAGCTCCTGCCCCAGCAATCGTGCAGGGTCCAACTGCACACACTGACCAGAAGGGAAGGAATGAGAAACTGCAGCCAGACACGAGCACAACAAAGTATTTAATGTCTTGTCTTTATGAAGGTAGCCACATGCTTTAAGCACTTTGTGCTCACATGCCTTCAGATGACAGCAGCTGCAAAAGATCTACCCAGACAACAGAGAGAATTATTGTTCTGCATCACAATAACAGCTTAAATGCAAATTAAAAACAGTCAATTCCAGAACCAACTGTAAAACATTCATTTATTTTTAAAGATGATGCTACTGGATGAGCACCCATACAACCATCTAGGAACTCAAAGATAGTCAGTGCTAAAGGAAACAGTGCATCCATCACAGAATTTGTGCGTAAGGGCTCTCCCATTTCAGGCAGGTATGGTGGACCCCCATTGCCACAGTGTGATTTGTGCAATCCCAGAATCATAGAATGGCCTGGGTTGAAAAGGACCACAACGATCACCTAGTTTCAACTGTCCTGGCATGTGTGGGGTCACCAACTACCAGACCAGGCTGCTCAGAGCCACATCCAGCTGAGATGTAATGCTCTGCCTAAGTGCTTTTGGACATTATCACAATAGAAGGCACTGGAGGAAAACAAGTACAACAGCCAAGCGCTTGAGAGGTGAATTTCAGGCTACACAAATCCCTACTGACAGGGTTACATCAGTGAATCCCAGCTATCCCAACAGTTGGACTCTGGTGGTCTCACAGCAAGTCACCCACCGCAGGGTTCACTTGGATCTGCACTGAACTGCAAAACTTTTAAGAGATAATCTGTTCTGTTGTACAGAAGAACCAGGGGACTACAGCTATCTCCCGTTCTTCCGGTTCTAGGAAATTTTGTTTCGAATGGTGTTCATGGGTTTTGCTTGGGCAGCATCAGAAAGAAGAGCTACCACAGTTCTTTGCATTACACGACTCTTACTCCCTAAAGTAACATTGCCATTACAGTGGTTCCCCAACAGCAACTCTCAGTCTGCCAAGTGCACATCTCAAACTCCTCATGGACAGATGCTGCTGACCAAAGCAATGGTTAGGTGCAACTTCCAATATTGTACAGTTGAGGTTGTCACCTCTTTCTCCTCCACTCACTGAAAGATCAGCTGCCTTTATGAGCCTCTAACATTTATGCCTAACGGCCTCCATGACGGACGTATAAACCAGGTCGCATGCCAAAGCTCTGCCCGAGGAGAGCCTCTTACAGAGCCCAGGCTGGACTGACGTAACTTAAACACTGACACCTGCTGGAAGCAAGTCATGCGTTGTGGAGGAAATCTATCCGAGGGAGAAGATGCTGCCCTATGCTCTCCATTGCTGCCCCTTCCATGGAGCAGGCAAGCACTACACACCCTGAAGCAGTTTGCCTGAATGACCTCAAGCCCCACAGCACATTCAAGGGACATAATCTTAACAGAGTACAGTTTTGTGCTCTTTATTCTTTGCCTCTGTGACAACCAAAGAAAATCATCCTCTGTTCCAGAGCTTACATTTCTCACTGCTGAGTTCCTACCCAGTTTACCTCTATTGTGTGCAGCTGAACTCTTTCACATAAAACAAGAGTCCTGTTTAAATAGTTTAAATAGTTTAAATGTTTAAATAGGACAGATGGCTCCGGATTTCCTATGGGGGTATGGAGGTCTAAGTCAGCATGGAAACTTTTCTGTCCTTGCTATAGCATTCCTCTCTACCAGTAGCCAAAAAAACAGTAACAACCCCAACCTGCCTATGCCTGTTTTGAAGGATGTCATGTGGCTCAGTTCACTACCGGTTATGATGTACGCCAAGTCATTATGGGCTATGATGCCTTCCAAGAATAACAGATAAACAGTAAACAAAGGCAAAATATTTTAAAGCACATTTTGAGGAGACCTCATTAGAGCCTATGTAACACAGGAAAATGCCAGTGGGATTGAGGAACTCTGAGAAAACTTGTCAGCATTTTCATGTCCATTTTCTTAATGCATGCATTTAAAACTCCTCCTTAGAGGCTCATATATCAGCCTCCTATCTGACAATGCACAGTGAATCAAATTTTACATAGCTCTCAAAATCATCTGCAGTAAGAATTTCACTGGATATCTCATCCACCAGTGAAACAGCTGCTTTTTAAAAAGAGCCTCTCACAATAGCTCAGGATAAGTAACACTGATATGCAATCAAAATCGCTTGAGAAGCTTGTATCAACAGAATGGAATTGGTCATGCTGGAATTTGACCAGACCATTTGGGATTAACACCCTGATGACTGTAAAAATGTCACAGGAAACTGTTTTTAAAAAAAGACTCTAGCATAGTTTCCACTGGACTTTCCTTCACCGTTCCAACATAGTCTAAATTAAATCTACAAAGCACTTGTTCACCCACCTCATTGCAGCAGGGAAACAAAAAACTATGAAGAATTGGGCTTGTGCGTTGAAACCTCACAGAGTGGGGTTCTTCTCCCTTTGGGTTTATTTGTAAAAAGCACAACCGAGGCAATGCAAAATCTTGAGAGAAAAGATATGCCAGAAGAGAAATTGGCACTTAAGATACAATCAAGCTGACCAGAGGTAAAGGGAGAACAAGCTCGAGTTAGCACGATCCACTAAAAGATGCTGTGTTTACAACTGGCACAGCCAGCAAGCTGTAATCGAGAAAAAAACGACCGTCAGCAAAGGAAACGAAAACCAAGCATCTGTGTATGCTGAAGTGGTTTTAGCTGTCTTTTCAAATCTGGTGCAGAGCTGCCTGTGCAACAGAGAAAAGAATAAGCTGTGAAGAGCGGGCCGAAAGGAAGAAAATAAAGTTGTGCAAATGCAGCATTAAGCGGCGCTATGTTGGTGAGGCAGCACCAGCTGTCCAGGACCCGTCTGTGACCCACGGCAAGCACAAGCACTCACCCAGTTTACCAAGTGTCTTGTCAGAGCACAGTCTGTGCCAGGTAGTTAGTTGTATGCTTGGCTGCCCTCCTCACTAAACACACATTGGTATCAGGGGAGACAGAACAAAGAAGTGCTCTCTATAACAGCTTCCAGTAAAGCAATTCAGTGCATTTAGCACAACTGCAGTCACCTTCATCCCCTGCTTGGACACAGGACACAATTTCCTATGGGCTAGTGGAGTTCTGGGTGCTCTGACATTTCCAACATGATAAAGACAGAGCAAAGCCTTCAGTTTCTCTCTTGCAGGAGAACACTAGGTAGACAAAACACATGCCCCTTTCAGCCTCCCTTCCTCTTGGGGCTGTCAGCATTCTTCAGGGCACACAGCAGGCTGCAGAACAGCTCATAAGTAAAGAAGATGAGACCAGTAGAGACAGCAGCCTTCAGCAAGCTGGGTGAAAGGCCCTTAAAGAATCCACCCGGACCCTCCTCTCGCATGATCTGCCTTATGCAGTCCAGGAGACCCCTGTATATCCGCACCTGGGAAAGAATGGCACAAGGTTAAAAAAAAGAAATCCAGGACAGCCTACTTGCAAAAGCAACAGAAATTCCCAGATTATACCACAGAAAAACATAATCTAGACATGCAGCCTAGAGATGCTTTTCTTTTATTATAAATAACTGAAAATTTCAGAGAATCAGTTTGTTAAGAGTGCTGGTAGAGGGAAACTATATATTTTGCATCAGCAATGGCTTAAGTAGATTGTTTTAACTGAAGGTCCATAAAATCTTTATGCTACAATGACATGCATTATTTATGGTGCAAGTTTGTGAAGCACTTATTTCAGATTGTGCTGCTATTGGTTTCCATCTCCTTCACTCTCTAAGAAAGGACAACTTCTCAGTTCTCTGACAGAAGAAAAACACATCTACAGCACTTAGAAGTCTATAAATTAACCAGCTGCACGTCATCATATCATACCACAAAGGTTTAATACTGTGACACATCAATGCTAAGAACAAACACTGTACCTCACCAGAAGAAAAGAAGCATCAAGTGTAATAAGTTAAGATTTCAAGAGTTTCTTCAAATACAGGCTGATTTGCTTTTCAGACCCAGAGAATTTGAAGGAAAAAAGGAAACAACTACTTCTCAGGGAAAAACATAGATAGCTTCTTGAAAGATCTGTGGTTGCCTTAAAGCGTATTTCCAGATGTGATGAGCAGGGATTAGGAATGCCAGAAGTATTTAATTTGCTTTGAATTTCAGGACATTCTGGTACATAAAATGTATGCTTTGTATACTTTGAATACTTTGTTCCCACTCCTTGCAGCAAAACATTAATTTCAGAAAATGATCCTGAGAGACAGGTGACCCCAGCATAAAGCTAGCATAATTCTCAGTCACCTATTTGGTTCCTAATCACAAAATCAGGTGGCAAGTAGAAGAATAAAGGAAATTAAAACCCCTTTGTTTTTACAACTCATCCTCAGCTCCAAGACAGCCTAGCTGATAAAGATGGATGGCAAGGCAGAACACAGGTATGCTGGACAATGTAAGAAAATAATCCAATTTATTCAAGCAGCTATTCCCAGTATTAAGTGAGAACAGTGCTTAGCTCACAGAAACTAGAAAGTTGCCAACCACATACAAAGACAACAAGTACTTCTAATGAATCATCACTTCACTGCAGTGATGAATGGGCTCTGGATTGTCTTGATGTGAATCCAGATGAATGAAAAATAGAGAATTCAAACATTTCTTACCTGCCCAAAGGCTGCTCGGGCACGCTCAAAGCCACCCACTTGCAGTCGTTTTTTGATCAGGTCAAAAGGGTAAGTGAGGGTTTTACTGATGATTCCAGCACAGCTGCCACAAACAAGGTTTTTAACATTGCCTGAGAAGCAGAAAGAAGAAAACACAGCAAAGAGGGAGAAGGAGAAAAGAGGATTAGCAGTGACCTCAGATTGAAAAGTTACTAAAAGTAAATTAAAATGCTTTTTAAAAGAAGGAAGGCCAGAAACACTGTGAAGTTACACCATTTTTTCTGCATAGTTTGACCACTGAACCTCAATCTATATTCTTCCACACTGGGGTCCCAATGCCCACTCTGGAGCCAGAGTGTAACAGCTCACCTACACTGATTACATTAATTTATGATTTTGACCTACCAAGTGGCAATGCACGAAAGAAACAGCCACCAGCTCAAGAAAAAGCACCTTGGGCTGCTGACACTTCACTTTCCTATCTAGTTACATTTCCTTCATGACCATTCGAAACCATTCAAAAAGGTGCTTGAAAAATTAATTCCACATACATCTGGAGTATCCCTGCAGGGTTACGAATGAGATGGGGAATTTAGATGCTTTTAAGAGGTTGCATACAAAAAGTTGATAGGAATGAATACTGAGCTTATGTCAGTCCCCCTAAACAACATTTACGATTACTTTCTTTTAATATCACAGACTTAATTATGTTAAGTACTTACCTCCTTCTTTTCCTTCATCTGGAATCATCCGTTCTGAAAACTGTTGCAGAATATTGTAGAAGGAGAATTGGAAACCAGCATATGGGAAGACAGCAATGATCGTAGGGGTCAGACCTCTATAGAAAGTCCGAGGCCCTTCTGTCTGGTACATGGTCATCACTGCATGGTGAAGGTTCTGATAGATCTGGACAACACAGAAGACATTGACTTGCCAGTGAAAGAGGCTTAGAAACAGCAAAATCAAAGGTTAAGATACTTGTAAGTAAAGAGTATAAGAACTTCCTTTTGCCTACAATACAACTGACTGATTTTCAGCACAGTGCAATGAACAAAATGATTTCGTATATCTTCATGCAGTATTCTCAGCTAAACCCTTGTAGCTCTTATAAGTAAGCTGACAACTTAAGCCTATGCCTAACTTAGACTAATTGAATGAACAGATTGTTAGGTCTGCACTAGAGCCTGGGCTGACAATGAATCCCACATCTAAGCCATGCTTCTGAGGGAAACAAATGAGGCACAGGGCTGAGCTGTGGATTGAGACCTCTTGAAGCATTGATGTAATTATTTAATTTGCTATTTAACCACTCAGCTTGCTCCTGAAACAGAATTCAGACAATACATACTGTGATTCTACTGCAAGCTAAAACAAAAACCAGAAACGGTTCCAATACAAATTCATATGTGTCTAATTATTACAGACCTAAACAGCATGGAGACCAACTCTTGCATAAGTAAGATTAAGAAACACAGGTAAAAGGCATCAATTATCATCCTCATCATGACTTGAACTTCACTGCATGTAAATCGAAAGTCAAACATGTGAAGCACCACAGACTAAGGATTATTTTCTCCAACTGGCCAATAGCCAAAATGAAAATTGAGTTATCTTTGTAAGGACAACTTTACCTTTCTGCATCACCTGTCAGAAGTCAAACAAAAACAGGATCAGCAAAACACAACTAAAGAAGCTATATCAACAGTACAGAGGATACCCTGCATGCAACACAAACATTGCCCAGTAAGAGCAACTTCTCCTTTATGCTGACCCACTGTTAGCACAGACTGTTTCAAACTTCCTGTATTCTCAGAAATGAAATATTGCTGCTGCTATGGCTTGTAATTCCAAACATCAAATCCTTAACCATACCTTAGGCTCACCCTGAGCAGCAAAACGCGTACGTAGTGTGTCAACAGGCTGAACTGCAACAGTGGCTGTGCAAGCTGATAGTCCACCACAGATGAAGTGCACAAAGGAATTGCGGGCATTGTATGAGGTGATGTTGTGCACCAGTTTGGTCAAGCTTTCAAATGCCATGAACTTGCAGAAACAAACATGCAGAGGTCAAGGAGTCATTTCTTATCACTGATGCAGATCTCCCACTCTTTCATTTTACTGAGAGCTCCACCCACAGCTTACAACCACCTCCTCTCTCTATCCTTCAAAAGTTCTTCAATTTGCAACCTACTGGAGCATGTGCTCAAAGAATGCCTTGTAAAAGTCACTGAGCAGCCTGAAGAATGCTTGGGGTATTGTGATCTCTGATATTTCCTGTACATCTTACATTTAGAACTGCAAAAAACATATTTTAAAGCTCTCTCTATATATTGAAAATTGTTTACTATATTACATACATGCTGCCCATTACTTTTTCAACCAGAGATCATAAAACACGCTGCTAATACTTATAAATTAAGCATAGCAACACTGTGCAAAATGCTGTCATCAGCCTCACTGACTTCACTGCCCTTACAGCTTGCTAGGAAAATGTGAATCAAAGCAAAGAACTACACATGCTTGGCTCATAAAAACAGTTACGAGAAGTGTCAGGAACAAGCAGGGCTTGTCTGCGACACCAGGGTACTCAGTGAACTGAGAATGCTTTTGCTTTGCTCCACACTGGCCAAGCAGAATTAAGCTGTGTTCAGGAAGCTCGGAAGTATTAACTTAGGAACTAGACACCAACATTATTTAACTACGCATATTTAAGACTGGAGTTGTCTTGAATCAGTCCTATTAAGGTGGACCTTTCTGCATCAGCTCATTCTATCAGTCTGAAGAGAAAAAACGTCCATACAAACACCAGGCCCATCTAGTATCATCTTACCTGAACTGCTCCATAGCCAACTGAAAGGAGCTGTGCAGGAATGTGACCCTTCCAGAAGGCTAATATCCCCTCCTCCTGGAATATACGCCGTGCAGCCTGCAAGATGCCATGATATTTAGCCCCTGGAGTTTTGAAGGAGAGCCGCTCAATTTGAAGCTGGAGGAAAACAGAAAATATTTTCAATTCCACATCACGATTCAACAAGGTTCAAGTGTCCCATGCAGAAATTCACAACCCCAATAGCCAACCAAAGCTGAGTGAAGACATTCTGTGTTTCCTCAAAATCGCATGTAGAACCAAGTGGGATACTTTCTATACAGGACTTTGAAGAACAAGAAACATGCATACCACAATAAAGTAGCCAATAAGGACGATAGAGAAATTCATTAAGTGAGATTGTTTAGAAGATGAGGAAAAGAGAACAAACTCTGAAAAACACAAGATGCCATTCAAGCATACAGGTTACACAAAGAGAAGTGCTGGCCTCAGCTCAGTCCTACTGCCTCGAATCGTGTGCAGCATCCACAAAGGCAGATTCATCTTGCCCTGGCTGAGGTGACCTTGGTCACACAGGACAGCGAGCTCTGCTCTGTGACAGACGCGTCCCCCAGCAAGTCAGGTACCTGAAAGCGGATCTTGATGACGTCCAAAGGGCTGATCAGGACCCGAGTGACGAAGCCCGATGCTGATCCTGCTGCAGCTGCTTCCACCGTGGAGACGCACTTTGCCTCTGGGTCATAGCCGACCATGCCTGCCTGCTGTCACTGCAGTGTCAGTAGGAGCCCCGCTTTCCCGCGCTGGGGCTCTGCGGCCCCAAACCCCCTACACCAAAACCGCACCTCACACTAAGGGCCGAGAGCCCCACATCCTTACCACCTTCCCTCGCCTTCTTCAGGCCGGGGGCCCCAGAAGACACCCCCTCGTCCCAAAACAGCCTCTCCTCGCTCCACGGGCCCCGTATCGTACGCCGGAGCAGCGCGGGACGCAGATCCGAGAGCAGCCGTCGGCCGCAGCTGCGCCGGGCCCAGGCCGGCGTTAGCCGCCTGCAGGCCGCCGTACTGCGCCTGCGCGCCGCGGGGCACGCTGGCAGTTGTAGTCCCACAAGGCCCCCAGCAACACCGAGAGGAACGGCGGCCCGGCCGCCCCCACGTAACGCTGCGCTTCTCGAACGAGAGCAACGGCTGCGCAGAGCAGGCAGCACGAGAACAGCAACAGCGTAGGGGCCCGCGAAAAGGTAGCTGGGATAGTGGGTTTTTGTACTTACAGCGTTTTTGGCATCTGGGGCAGCCCAGGTGGAAAATAACTCTTCCCTATGTGCCGTCACAGCAGCAACAAACATTCTTCTTTCCTCCTTAGAGCAGAAGGAAAGAAAGCTTTGCTCAACTTTTCCCTAGAAGCCCAAAGTATGAATAACAGTTCGGAGCCATGGATCCAGCTTCAGCATTGTAAAATAGAAGTGCCAAAGGTACAACCCCTACTATGCATTTATTTAAAAATTGACTTTAGTGGTACAAATAGGAAAATAATGGAGTCATTGGTACATCTTGACTACGTCTGCATTTGAGCATCAGTAAGAGGAATTGTTACAACACAGTTTAATCAGCAGATGTTCTCCTTTCGTATTTTAAAACCCAGTGCCTAGCCGAGAGGCACCGTCTGGACACAAGGCTGGGAGGAGATGCAGATTCAGAGTAGCAGCTGCCGAAAGATAACACTGAGCACCTCATTAGAACTGTCACTTCCATTGCTTTATGCAACAAGAAAAAAAACAAGTGACCTGTAAGGCACTGACCAAGCAGAGCTAACCTTCATGCGGCAGTCTGAGCTGAAGCCGCTATTCTTACAGAAGCTTGTCCTTCCCTCTGTCCTTCAGCGAGATGCTCCAGAAATAACTAGTATATCACTCTTCTTTACTGCCTCCTTACTACATTGGTCAGCACCACAGGGACACTCCACAGGTTAGGAAGAGCTTAAAAAAAAAAAAAAAAAAAAAGGAAGAAGTATTTAAGTGCCACTCCAAATTCTGCTAAGAGATTCACTGCTTTCCTACTGGACAGTGAACCAATAAATTCCTTTCCCCTTTCTTTACTATTTGCAATAGTGTAAGTTACATGGATTGTGGCTGGCTTAGACCAAAAGAGCAGTGAATTTAGGTAGGCATGCTGAGAACCAATCATGATGCCAGTAAGTCTGAGCACTTACAGATTAGCTTTATCAGCTATATTCTGGTCAGATGAAATAACAGACAAATGCCCAAGTGAAGAATTCAATGTATATTTATTATTCACAGTTAATTACTATCTACCAAATGCTGCTGCAGAGTTAAAGGATTAAGTACATAGGCCTTTTTTTATTTAAACACTGATTTTTTTTTTTTTAATATATATACACACACAAGACATATGTCTGCAAGGTTGCATGATATACACCAATTCCAAAATAAGGAAACAATCAAATGGTCCAGGTATAGAATGCCATAGATTCTTCTTCCAATCACTTTATGAAGAAGGAAGAAAGTGAGTGACAGCTAGCAAAGAGAGGGGGAGAAAGTAATGCTCTACAGGATAGCTCTCTCTTTAATCTGCTGGAAAATTAAAGTGTAAGGCAGAGTTTGTCTCAGAAATAAAACATAACATTTAGTACAAAAAAGGCACCCTCCAACAAGCGACTGCCTGTACTTAGGCAGGACAGGAGAAGCTCTCCACTGCAGCTTCTGGATTCGTTGTTGGAGTGAAGGGATCCAGCCAAGTAGCTCTCAAAAGGAAAAATAACACAACTGAAGATTGGCACAGGGAGTAATGCAGTTTGATTTCTTTCTATCCAATTCAATGTCACACTGCTCTGGTGAAAAAGCAAATGGCCACAATGAAGGCCATTATTGGAAAAGGTGGGAATTACAGTCATCACACAGCCTGGTGTGAATGGGGAGTCTAACAGTAACACTGACCTGAAGAGGGAGGAGAAACTGGAGAACAGTGATGCCAACCCCACTTTTCAAGAGCAACACAACTGCAAATAACTCCCTTATCCAGGCAAAAGAGACAGGCTGATTACATGCATCACATAGAAACATTCACTAATAGCATAAAATGTTTTCAAGCACTGTTTCTTGGAGGTTTTTCTGCATTATAATTTTCCATCAACGGAATGTACATTTTGTAGGACATCTCAGGGCTACTCTTTCTCAAATTCCCTACATAACCTTCCCTTCCCCAAATATTCTTCCTCATTTTCCCTGGTCATGTTTTTCCCCTTTCTCTTAAATCTTTTGAGGCTTCTGGTTTCAGCTTCCCATGTTTGAGCAGCCCAAGCTGCCAAGGAATGCCTTTTTTTTTTTTTTTTCCCCTGTAACAAGGAAAGTCAAAGAACAAGTCAAATCTTTAGAACAAAGCTCCATCTCTATAGATTTTTTTCAGGTATCCATTGACAAAGCCACCCTTCCTTTACACCTTCCATCCAGAAGTATTTATTTACACATAGGCAGAAAAAAAGGCCCTCTGAAAAGCTCTGGACTGTCCTTTTAACTTAAAAAATAATAAAAAAAAACAAGGGAAAGGCACTATGGAAAAAATTACAGAATGTGCTCAACCGTACACAGTTAAGAAAAGAAACAAAAAGACTATCAGCACAGCAATAACAAACTTCGGTTGTAGTTTGGAGTTTCTGAAAGCAACTCTGTGACTCAAACAAAAAAAGAAATCCACAACTCTTCTCCCTTCCTCAGCTTGGAAGCTGCTGAGCTTCAGAAGAAAGTGACAAAGGAGAAGAGACAAAAATTAGAGCAATACCTCATCTTTCTCAGGCAAGAGCAGCTGAATGCTGAAGGCAAGAGCAGAGACTTTTTAAATTATTATTATTTTTTTTTTTTTAAAGGCAGGACTGTGTATTTGGTTTTCCTCTCATGTCCCTTCATGACAAATAAACCATTTGCAGAGAGAAAATACCAGCAGAGTTTCTCCCTTTTCCTTTAACTGCATGGCTACAATTTTAAATGGCATTAAAACTTCATGCCTGGACAGAGGACAAGGGGAAACATTAAGTAAATGAAAGGGAGTAACCCAGGAGCAGCTGAGGAAATTCTTTTTTTTTTTTTTTTTGTTTTGTTTTGTTTTGTTTTCTTTTGTTTTTTCCTCTTTTTTGATAAGTTTTGGTGTGTAAGTTGAACTCTTCCCTCCCCCCCACCCCCTTCAGCCCCTGAAGTTCCACACTGTGAAGGAGGATCACCTCACGGTGAAAGGTGACTCAGGTTTTATCGCCGTGTGATTTTAGGTCACTGGCTGCAGTTAGGCTCTGTATGTAATTACTGTTTCTCTTGTTTCTTTAAATAATCTGTAATATTTATCTCTAGATGTTCCGGTTCACTGGGGTCACATAGTTGCGTGGAAACATGCCCGTCTGTCCGTGGCAGGCTCCCTTCCACCAGTTGGGGTCAGAATTGTCAAGGACTTGGATAAAGTCTCCGCGGCGGAAACCCAACTCTCCTTCCTCCTGGGGATCAAAATCAAACAGAGCTTGAACGTACGTTGGTTGCTGAAAATAAAGAAACAAAGATGTGTGGAATGAGAATCATCCTCAGCACTCAAGACATCTGCTTCCTCAAGCAAGATTTTAACTTATTCCAGATTTTAGAAGTGAACATTTGGGCTGTTTCATTTCCCTTACATCCAACCTTTATCATCTGTAGCAAGACAATTAAAAAGTATAGTCTACAGAAGGGAAAGAAAAAAACAAAAACCAGAAGTTATGGTTTAACCCAGCAGATGGCTAAGCATCACACACTCATTTGCTCACTCCTCCTCTTCCCAGGGGGGTGGGGGAGAGCGTCAAGAAAAAAAAAACAGTAGAACTCATTGGTTGAGATAAAACTGTTTAGTAAGACAGAAAAAGGAAGAAGAATAATAGTTAATGACTATGTATATGTGAATGCATAACAAGTGATGCACAAGCAGTTGCTCACCACCTGCCAATCGATATCTTCTCTGCCTGGAGGATCCCAAGCAGAAGAAGAAAGAGATGAACGCCCACCCCTTTTCTTCCACGTGATATCATATGGTACGGAATACCCCTTTGGCCAGTTTAAGTCAGCTGTCCTGGTTCTGTCCCCTCTCATTTCCTCGGACCCCCTGTGCCTCCTAGTTCGCTGTGCATCCCCTTATTGGTAGGACAGTAGGAGAAACCAAGAAAACTGAAGTGTCCTTGGCTCTGTACAGCACTGCTCAGCAACAACTGGAAACACTGGTGTGTTATTAACATTGTTTTTGTTTTCAGGGGGAAAAAAAAAAAACAAAACACACAGAACCCTACTAGATACTGTGAAGTAAAACAACTCTGTCTCAGCTGAAACTAAGACAACAGGTTTCTGTGAAAGTGCAAAATAAAACCAGATGCCACAGATGTTCTAGTATTTATCTTCCAGTGTCCAAAACTTACTACAAACTCCATACTCCGCTGAATTATGATGGTTTTTTTGCTCATTTGCCCTGCTACATCAAATGACAACATTAATATTACTGATCTACCTAGCCACTGTAATACACAAAATTCCTCTGCAGAATTGGATGTTGGTGTTCTGTACGTTTCCTTTAAGCCGCTCCAGTATTAGAAAGTTTTGCTATAGAGTGTGTGTGTTTTGTCACCAAATGCTTCTATTCCTACAGAGAAGTTACACATTCATTTAAAAATGCATTTGCATTCTTAAAACATGGAGTCTAGAAAGGTATCTTCATGCTGCTTACTGTTTTCAAACAGCTCTTTTCCCATTCTCTGTTCACCATTAACTAAACAGCACAGAGCCATATGTTAATTCAGATGAACTGTGGCAAAGGCTGACAGCATCCAAAGAGCAGTACAAGTTTCCACATCTCTTCAAGATGGAACTAGAATACTGCATACAGAAGCAGTTATATCCAACCTAACATTTTGTATGTCCTGGGAAACGAAACAAAAAGACAGACACAACCTGACACTTAGCAGTAGTTTTTCAGTTCCTTTTTACATTTGCCAAGTTTAAAACATATGCTACTACCTGTAGCCACTTCTTCAGGCAAGACCACTACTAAAATTTCACTGCTATTGAGGAGTACAGTTCTGGCTCCCAACCAGTACAAAACCGTGCTTTCTTACTGTATCCTAAACTAGAAGTAAACATGTTCGTAACTCACAGGAATTGGATTATCTTACTTCAACAGTGCCCATAAACATTAACACAAGCCAACTATTCAAGCAACAACACCGCCAGAAATGAATACTAGGAGTTTTAGCAGGTAGACTGTGCACAAGCATCCAGATTATTTTCCAGTATACTGGCAGCAAGATCCAAAAATAAACTCCCACAGGCAAAAAAGTCAGTTTTTCTCCATCCCCATTCATATAACCTAAGATGCAATCCCAGTTCAAACTGTGATTGCAATAGTTTAAATATGCTCTGAAGAAACGGTTCTCTTACCTGTGGCACCTGTTCAATATCCCGTAGAAATATTTGCTGGTTCCTGGAGACAGACGTGGATCTGTGATAATCTACCAGCTCATTCAAAGAATTGAACTTCACCACCCAGAGGAAATACTTGCCAGCCCCATCTCTAAGCACCTTGAAGTGCTGCACATCATTTCCAAACCTGGGAGAAAAGAGCAAACAATGCAGAAAAGAACAGTCACCGAGCACTCTTCTAGAGCTGAAACTTAACAACAAAAAGACTATTCAGGACATAGTTGGTGACAATGATAATGCAGGTATCAACTGGTTGCTGTGAAGATGATATTTGAAAACTGTCTGGCAATCGTATATTACAGAAATCAGAAACCAGAGACAGAATTCAAATACTGAATTTATTTTGAAAAAAATTCTGCAAGCTTCACATGCACTCTTCTTAATAGTAGAGCTTCAGTTTAAAACCAGCTTTTCAAACCGCTCTGAAGCTGCACAAATTTGAGGTGGTTTAGTCAAGGATTTCTGGTGTTACAACACTCCAAGGCTATGTGCACAATGACAACTGCATCAGTGTATCACTACACTGCTAGTGTTAAAACACAGGCACTTCTTGATTCATGTATGCAGTCAGAGTTGCTGAAGCCTATGCACTGAATACTCAAAGGCCATGGACAACATGTGAGGTGTGAGGTCACAGTAAGGTAGGCACACCACAGTGCCCACCCACGCTACACATGCTTCAGTTCAGCTTTTCAAACACAGGAAACAAGCCAGCTTAGGTTCACACTACTCTTACTATGGACCTGTGACCTGTACTTCGCATAATCCCAGTCTCTCACTCACATGGTACCATTTCAATACAAAGGCACCAGTCCCAACAGTGGGAAAGTGCTGGGAAAAGAAGTGCCACAAGTGGGGCAGGATTGTCTCAAAGCTTGGACTCATGACTTATAAAAAAGGATGCCTTGCAAAACAGACAGATTTCTCCACTTCTATTTGTCTGACAAGTGATGGCATTCAATTGAAGTTACTTTTTCAACTATTTTATTCTACATAAAGTGCAACTCCAAAGAGGGCTATGAGGATTTTCCAGACGAACAGCATATTAGAATTTTTACTTTAGTCTGAAACAAAAACACTGAAAACTGGCAGGGAGTACATTCCCCACTTGGCATCAAGAGCTTCCACACCTCAGTTTAGAGTGCAGACACAGTCTACACAGCTAAAAGGCTACAAAGCTAACACGAAACGGTCAATGAGTACTGCCTTTGCTGTCTCCTCTTCAACCTGAGAGACTGTCATCATCTCAAATAAAAATAAAAATAAAATAAAATAAAATAAAAAAATAAAAAAAAAAATCACTGTTCAGGGGTGAGTGGAAGAATGCTTTTTCCAAATTAATCCACCAGAAAAAAGCAACATACTACCACCAGGTGGCAACACTAAGCTAACAAAGCAGGCAGGGCTACATTTAAAAACCTTAAGTTTCATGAAGGAAAGCAGTTCCTGCAATGGAGCTCCCTTACGTATCTCATATTCCAGCTCAGATTATTGTACCCAGCTGAAGTATAAACACTTCTCTAAAATGAGTAGTTTTAATTCAATTTTGTTGGCATTAATTAAGGCTGCTGTACAGGATGACAAAATCTTGGTACAGACCAAAGATGAGCCAAAAATACAGCAAACATGGAACTGTGCATGAATAAGATTCTAAAGAAAATCCTGTTCATTTCTGGAGGGAAAGGAGAAAGCTATAGAAAGTTAAGAAGGGCAAAAAAAATCAGCTGCTGAGGACGGAATTCCTTCCCTCTATGCTACCTTACATCCCATAGTCTTCCAAGTTTCTAATACCTCTATTTATAGTGGCTTATACTGAGCTGTGAGATAGTTAGACAAGGCTCACATGCTAACTACCAGGAATTGCTGCTGATTAAGAGCCAGCACTTCTAGAAAGGTTATACAAGGATGAGAACTGCTCCTCTCTACTTTACTGTTACTAGACTGAAATTCCCTGTTAAGAGAATGCATTTGAGAGAAATGGAAAATAATTTGTTTTCATAGCTCCATGTCCCAGTACTGGGTAACACAAATATCCCCAAAGGATGTGTCAAGCAGTCATGAAAAATATTTGAAAGTGTACTACCCAAAGATAGAGGAAAGAGTAATGACTTATGCTATGGAAGAGGAACAAAGAAGGACAGAAGGGAACATGCACATTTTAGGCAGTTCATAGTTGAAATGTTTAAGTTGAAATGAGGAGGAACAGGACCCACAAATTAACAAATAGTGTCTGAAAACACCTAAGTCAGACAGCAACACATCACCAACTCAGCCATGTAGGTTCATTACAGAACAGAGTATATTTGTACTTCCTCTTTAATAAGGACAAAAACCACATATCTGGTCTACCACACTGGAAGAATAGGTATGCTATCTGGATTATTGCTGCTCCTCAGTATCGATGATCACTTATCCAGGAGTCAAGATGAGCGTCAAGTGATTTCCACACAACTGTTTCAGGGCACTACTTACTTGACCGAGAGAGAGAAGTCCCCAGGAGCACTCTCACTCTCCCTGATAAGGAATGCACCATCATGTCTCTGTTTGCCTAGCATCTCTTCAGCCTTTGCCCGGGGAATTTTTCCAAAAAACCACCTGTGGAGTAAGCAAGGAAAAGGAAACAACAGAGAAAGTTAAGTTGAACTGCCTTATGGAAGAGCCCAACACAGGTAAACACGCTGAGGTGAAATGATTTCTAGCAGAAATGACTGAACTGGATGTATTTCATTGTAAATCTACTACAGGCTACCAAACTATGTAGCTTTTCACATTTTGTCCTAGCAACGAAGCTACCATGACTTGATGAGCACATGCTCACAACAGCCCTATTTCATCTAATTTAGGGAAGCAGAAATGTGCTGCTAAGAGTGAAATCCTTAATTTAAAGGATTTGTTTTCAGAAGGATAAAAAAAAAAAACAGTCTGCTCAAAATATGGTGTGTTGTTACCAGTTTTGCATCATACTCTACCTATATATGATTAACATATGCAACGTCACAAAAACTAACATCCACTGCTGCTTCACAGCAAAGTCCTACTTTGTGAGACTAAGACCATTCTGGGAGCTGGCTACAGTCTAGGACAAAGTTAAACTGTCTGTTAATGGTCTTCGTTGGATCTTAGTAACCAGACCCCATAACCTAAGGACAAACATTAATGCCTAGCTGGGGCAAGAAACTCAACTCCTAACATTTCCTCTGTTACTAAAGGATAACGTCTCAGGTCTAGACACAAACACACAAAATTTTAATTGCCTGAACTGTATGATGCCATCAATTTAGATATGAAAAAGCCCATGCATTTGGGGCTAGTCAGTACTTTACTTCTCCACAGAATCACAGAATCACCAAGGTTGAAAGAAACCTACACGATCACCCAGGTACAGCCATCCACTTATCGCCAATAGCTCTCACTAAACTATGGCCCTCAGCACAACATCCAAGCACTCCTTGAACACCTCCAGGGTCAGTGACTCCACCACCTCCCTGGGCAGCCTGTTCCAGCACCTAACCACTTTTTCCAGAAAAGCAGTATTTCCTAACATCCAGCCTGAATCTCCCCTGGCACAACTTGAGGCCATTCTCTCTAATCCTATCACTAGTTACACGAGGGAAGAGTATGATACAAAAGCATTTGTTTCACTATTATTGCTCAAAAATAATCACCGGGGAGAAATTACACACACTCCTTTATTACTTAGGCCTCCTAAGGAGAAGCCACTCGTGCCTTAGTCATTGCAGATGACACCGAGTTGGCAGGAAGTGTTCATCTGCCTAGGGATAAGAAGGTCCTACAGAGTGATCTGGACAGACTGGATAACTGGGCTGAGGCCAATGAGACAAAGTTCAACAAGATCACACACCGAGTCCTACACTTTGGCCACAACCAGGCAATGCTACAGGCTCAGGGCAGAGTAGCTGGAAGACCATGCAGAGGAAACAGACCTGGGGGTATCTGGTCAACATCTGGCTGAATAAGAGTAATCATGGTGCCCAGGAAGGCCAATGGCATCCTTGCTTTTATCAGAAGTAGCACAGCCAGCAGTAGCAGGAAAGTGATCATCACTGGTGTGGCTGCACCTTGAGTACTGAACTCAGTTTTGGACCTACCACTACATTAAAGACATCGAGGACCTGGAACATATCCAGAGAAGGGCAACAAAGCTGGTGAGGGGTGTGGACTGCAGGCCTTATGAGGAACAGCTGAGAGAGCTGGGACTAGTTTGGAAAACACAACCAGCGGTGAGGTTACTGCTCCCTACAACTACTTAAAGGGAAGTTGTGGTGAGGTGGGAGTGGGGTCTCTTCTTACATGTAACTATCAATAGGACAAGAGGGAACAGCCTCAAGTTGCACCAGGGGAGATTCAGATTTGACATTAGGAGATACTTCTTCTCCAGGAGAGTGGTCAGGTGCTGGAATGGGCTGCCCAGGGATGCGGTAGAGTCAGTTCTGTCACACTGAAACCTTAAAAAAAAAACAGAATTTCAGCTTTTGCAAAACAGAAGGGAAACACCGGGAGTTCACCTTCAGGTTTATTCAGAGACATCAAGTTGTAGAAACAAGATTGAGAACAAGTGAGGAAAGTTCCCTCAAGGTCTCTTTCATTATGACTGTTGAGTTGGGTGTGTAATTGAGCTCTAAAAAAGATGCTGAAAAAACTTGTTTTAGTAGTCTATTTTTTTTTTTTTGTCTTCTCCTTCTGTCAGGACAATCTGACAGCTTTCACATAAACAGTCATATGAAACAGCTGCAGCATGGAAGTCAAATCAGAACTTGACAGCTGCACATAAGTCAGCCATAGGCTGACCACCTGTACAGCACCAAGAGTGAACCTACATCAGGCAACTAAATCATTAGTGCCCACTAACATCCTGTGGTCACAGGATTCTCATCCCAATTTACATTTGTGTTTCCAGACTAACCCAAGCTTAAAGGCAAACAAGGGCTGAGCAGTAGGTCACATGATGTGGGAAAAACAGAACTATCTTCAGAACCAAAAAGCATAACTTTCAGTTCTGAGTAATGGATCACACAGGAGGGATGCACTTACCACAGTCTTTAACCACACAGATGATTGAAGTCAGAGAGTAGTACTAAACAGCTCCACTTAAAAGGTTTCACAGAATCACAGAATTGTAGGGGTTGGAAGGGACCTCCAGAGATCGAGTCCACCCACCCTGCCAAAGCAGGTTCCCTACAGCAGGTACTGCTTCTCACAGGGTAGGTTTTGGTACAGCAAAAAAATGGTCTCTGTTTCAGTGATAGTTTTGAAGCTTCTTTCTTAAGAGAAGTTAAAGCTTTTATGAAACCACGGTCTCCCTCTCAAAATAACAACAATCTCTAAAGCTAGAAAAAGACTGCAGTATTTGATAAGGCTCTTGGTACCTGAGATTATGGCAGAGCCAGCAGAGGAACATTACCTGTCTTATTGCACTGTACTGCCTCCAAAATTACCCAAGAGAAATCATTACGTGAAGGTCTTTCAGAGTTCCAATGTAGTATTTTGTTTTCCAGGATTTTGGCACAGTTGTCAAGACAAGAAAGCCCTGAATTTCACTTTTGCCAAATGTTACATAAAGCAAACTTTATCTTATGATTTTAGATATCCTGCCACAGTTTGTTTACAAAGTGTTTTAATTCTGTTCTCAAATAACTATCAGTTACTCACATACTACTTGTAAATGAAAGCCTCAGCTTAAAAAAAAAAAACCAACCCAAAACCTCACTCATCTCTGTAAAATAGAAATAAAATCTGGAAGAACTCAACAGAACTTCTATTAATCCTCTTGAAGCCTCAAAAACACACACTAGTTTTCCCCTCAATTGTGCTGGATTGTTATCAAGTATAACTATTATTTGATTAATGAAAGTAACATAATCAACAATATAAAATTTTCTGCCTACTGCTTCTAACGCTTCTTAGCTGAAGTAGGAAGATTAAGAGATCTTCCACAACCCATAAAACTCTACTGCAGTTTTATGACTTCATTGCAACATCAGTCACTCAAACAGCAGCAAAGACTGATTTTTAAACATAAAAAGATTTAGAGAAAGAAAACCCCACAGGTCAAAGAAAGTAATTTTGAAGAACTACTGCCCAATTACAGACATGAACACAAAGCACCAGAAATGTTCCGCACACGTTATCTTTGCTACAGAATGGTTCAGAAAATAAAAAACATAGCACATCCAAGAAACTGACATTCCGAGAGCTTCCTTTCTAAATGGCCAAACTTGATAATCCTTTCTAACACTCACCTCCAACTAGCTTTGTAATGTAGCTCATCCAGTTTGCACTGCAAAACCAAATGCAGCTATTACTTCTGATACTGCACTGCAAGAGGGAGATCTGTCAATTGGTACAATGCAAAGTTCATACCACATTCAGACTCCTTTCAATCAGCAGCTCAACAATTCTTTCGGCTTCACTTAACGCAACCATTTTAGCTTGGCTTCTTTCTTCCACATAAGTTACAGTTTTTGCAGAGTAAGATTTCAGCAATATCTTTATAAGCAGTTGATTAAGAATACAGACTTGGACACACCACAAGCCTGATCCAGGCCATTTCATAAACAGAAGTTCTTGCCCTGCACCCTTATAAGAAAAAAGGTAGCCCTATCCCCTGAACGGCACAGCTGAGCCTTCATAGGCAGCCTCCCTGCCCAGTTTCCTATAGCTGTCCACTGATTATCAGTACCTATATATACTTACACATTCTCTTTGTTAATTAACATGAGATTTGGATTAACCCTATAAAATCCAGGTGATCCAGCAGGTGACTATGATATGCTACATTTCCCTTTCAGTCTCATCTGCTAGCAGTTAAAAAGAAAATTGGAAGATTTACAGAATACAAGCAAAAATGAACACTGCGTAATACAAGAAATGGAGCTGGAGGATTTAAGTCTCAGATCCTTGGACAGGACTAACATTTAAAAGCATTTCCAGTTACTTTCCTTCTAAATTCTCTTGAAAAGTACTCACCTCCTTCCCACAACACTGATACCAGCCTAAGAAAAGGAACATTCTCTTTCTTACATGTGGCTGCAGTTTGTTTTTGTATTCCCTGCTGGACTACTTAGAGAGATCTGCATTACTGCTCAGTAAACATGACACTATGTAAACTTCTGCATAACCTCCCCAGGTTGTTAATGCAATAACAGAGACCTCCGGCATTGCTGACATACAAAGCTAACATGATCCAGATGCCATCAGCAGTTTAAATGTCTTCAGAAAAAGTTGAATTATGCTTAAAATCCACCAAACTCACAGGAACTATCACCAGAGCTCTACTTACGGATGTGGCTTCATTTCTATATAGTTCTTGGGAATGAAGCCATCTTTTCCATTGAGTTCTGCCTTGTACCAATTCTGATCACATTCTTCATTCAAAACCTGAAGGAAACAAAAAATGAAAAAATAAGCTTACCACATTTCAAGTTACAGCAAAACAGACGAAGATATACTAGCTTATTCTTTCTATTTGTGTTTCAAAGATTGCTCACGTAAGATGAGCCCTTAAAAACATGCTGTAGGCCATCCTGCTCCACTGCATTTTACTAACCTTCAGAACAACAAGGTGGATCAGTAATTTAAAATAGTCCAAACTCCATGCTTTAATAGCAAGTCAGTATTTCAAATCATACTTTCTCTAGAAGTTTTGTTGCTTTACTCTTCTGTCAAGTGGTACAGTGCAACAGACAAGGCAGGCACGCAGACTGAAAATAGCCTCTTAAATAAAGGAACATTAGACTCTAAGAAAAAACACGCCACAGTTGAAATTACCTCTGCCCAGAAGAATTTGATTTGGGTTTGGAAACAAACACGTAGATTCTGCTCACTTCCCTACATCCTTTCAAAATTGAACACCACAACAATATTTTTTTCACCCAGCATTTTCATTCCTCCTCAGCTTTTTGATGTCATCTTTTTTCTTTCTAACACGAACCAACAAAAAACTAGATCCGAGTTTAAAAAAATACTTCTAGCTTGAAGTCAAAAAAGCATCATATGATTAGCATTGCTTGAACATGGGGAGATGAGGAAATGTAGAGAAAGCTAACATGAATGCAGCTCCAGAGATCACAGAGTACAAAGATACAGTGAAGATAAGCACCAAAAACACCTTCATAAGCAATTTTTTTTTTCCCTCTTCCTTGGGTGGATAACACAAGGGAAAAAGGAAAAGTAGACAAAATTTGCCTTAAAATGCTTATAGCTGATGCAAGTGTTTCAGAAAGTTAAACTCCATATCAATTTCTACTGGTTTTTTTTTTTTTTTTTTTTTTTAAAAAAAAAAGAAATCTGAACAAGAACATGATACTAATACACAAACCTGCTTCAATACTGATTGCCTGATCTACAAAAACCAACAAACTGATCAGCTACTGAAATTAAACTCAGTGAAGCAAAAAGAGAACAGAACTTGAAACACCACAGAGAATTACAGTAGATAATAATTATTCATCTGACTTTCTCAACCCTCAGCCACGCAGGATGCACACCCCCAAGTGCCAGCAATTGCATGAGATAAGAAGCACAGCTGTGTCACATCCAGACAACTTCAGATGAGAAAAAGATATGCATCTTTATGATCCAGTTCAGAATTTTCAGTTGAAAAGGAGACTCCAGTTTTTTTTTTTAATATATATACTTAAACCATCTTTTGTGCAGTTACTACTTCAAGTTCCCATTTATTTATAGGCACTACAACTCAGTCATTTAGCAAGGATAATTTGACCACAGGTCACAAGGAGTTCAAGGATAGCTATGTTACAGACTCTGAGGTAAAGGCTTGCACGTAGAGAACTAATACATATCAGCTGATGTCTGCTAACTTGTCTATCAGCAAGAAATTACTGTGCATCTCAACTGCAAGGCAGATTTTTGTGCAGAAACCAATGCAATTCCAGAATACAAAGTGCATGTACACGACAGCAATAGGTAACCCTGCGATACTAAGCAGGGAACATGGAACTGTAAAACAGATACATAAAAAAAAAGTGAATTGTATAGAGGCTGAGGAAACAGAGGTTGAAGCCCTGATCCTCAGCTTGGTCATACAAACAGGGCTGCATCAGAAGAGCAATGGCCAGGACAAGGGAGGTGATCGTCCCCCTTACTCTCTGCCCCTGTGAGGCACCATCTGGAGTACTGGGTCCAGATCTGGGACCCCCAACACAGGAAAGATGTGGAGCTTTTAGAAAGGGTCCAGCGGAGAGCCATGAGTATGATCAGAGCGCTGGAGCACCTCTCCTGTGAAGACAGGCTGAGCGAGCTGGGCTTGTTCATTCTGGAGAAGAGAAGGGTGCAGAAAGACATCTTTATGGCCTTCCAATATCTAAAGGGAGATTATAAACAGGAGTGATATCAACTTTTCACATGTGTAGCGATAGGGCAAGTGGAAATGGTTTTCAAATAAAGGAGGGGAGATTTAGAGGAGAAAGTTTTTCACTGAGAAGTTGGTGAGGTGCTGGAACAGGTTGCCCAGAGATATTGTGGGTGCCCCATCCCTGGAGGTGCTCAAGGCCGGGCTGGATGGGGCCTAGGCAACCTGATCTACTGCTTGATCCAGCAGCTGGCAACCCCGCCTCTGGCAGGGGGTTTGGAACTGGATGATCCTTGAGGTCCTTTCCAACCCAAGCCATTCTGTGATACAAAGATTTTGGCACATAGCTTGTATGATCAGAAGTTTGGTATTATATGTCCTAGGAGCCATCATTGTAGTCATTGTACAAAATAACACAAATACAACATATTTTGATGTTCTTTCTTATGCAATGTTTATCAAAGACAGCACAGACCAAACTCATTGTAAGATTGCATATCACAAACCCATTCCATTACCATTATTACAGTGCAGTAAAGGGATATAGCAGTCAGCTCTTTAAAAATATCCTGCAGTTGCATATGCAGAATATTACCACAAATCTGTGCTTTTAGCAGCAGGTATCAAAGATACCAAAATTCTAAAGAATTTGAGTTTTATCTGGCTCTTAAGATACACTAAAAGATTTGGAGGAGCCAAATCACATCAGGCTTGTGGTACTCATTAATGCTTGCCCTCCAACCAAATGCCTCTGCAGTGCTCCCTCACTGGTATGTTATATGTTCTGTGATAAAACAAAAGAACAGCAGGATGAAAGGCATAGTAAGACAAACTGCCTACACATATCCCCACACCACCTTTTCAGGAGGCTTTCACTACAGTGATAAATCCTCTACAGCTCCCCTGCACTTGGAGCTTGCTTTGCTCCAAGGACTTCTTGCTGCTTCACTTAAGACCGACATATCTCCATAACTGGTTGCCCGTTCCTTAGTAATTTTAGCCATACAGAACTTACTATATTTCTCTAGAAAGGTCTATGTTCAAATCTCATTTAGAGAAGTCACCTCCAGAACACAGATATCTACAAAAATCATTTGTTCTGACAGCATTTAAAAATAAGCATCCCTTGGACTGCTCCCAACACTTAGTTGAGCAGAAGTGACTTGCACTGCAGTACCTTAAAGCCATGACAACTGGGCAGTCAGGAGGCAGCAATTGTGATGGCTGCTACCAATTTTTTACTATTGCTATGACAGCTACAAAAGAGTCAAAATTTCAGCTTCCAGAGTTGCACCACTACCATCCACTGCAGAAATGCAACTAAGCAGTAAGACAAGAGCACATAGATCTTTGCACAGGGGCATCCAGCCTAGATGTTTGCATCTAAAATTGCTCTCATTTTTCTTTTATTCTTAAACCCACAGAAATGACAGAACAGATCTTAAGTAATTAAGTCATTTTGTTGCAAAATATTTTAAGCATCCAGTCAGGTCATCTGTCCCAAATCTTCAGCTGGCTTCCAGATTTCCAGATAATTACCAGGATTGCAATTTCTTATTTGGATATACTTAAAAACCAGATCTACACCTCTAAGAAAAATATCCTTAAACTATCGTAAGATTTTTCTAGACTTCCCAAAGCTATAAAATGTAGATAAAGCATTGTATATATCACTGAATTTTGCTCCAAGAACTCCCCCACATATAACTGAATGCAGATAAATTAAGCAACAAAATTAAGCAAAGATTATTCCAAATCAAATAACCTTCAGAGTCTGTAAAAAAAAAACACAAAAAAACAAAAAAACCTAAAAATAGGAGTTTGTGCCTTTTTATCTTATTAACTGTTACACATTGCTGCTCTTTGTGAAGGCCAAAACAAAGCTGTTCTCTGCAGCCAGTTCCTATACCTGCTGTAGATCCAATCAAGCCTGTAGCAGAGTGACTCTTCCTTTCCATGTGCACCAAGGAAGAGGAAGAAGGAAGGATATTTTTACCCATTACATTTGAACACATACTGCCATGTGATGTCCTCAGTCTGTATTCAGCCCAGCTTTACAGTAACAGTGGTTCAACTGCTGCCTGCCAATTTCCTAGCTTGATAACAGAACTCTTATCAACAAGAACACGTCTGTTCCCATGGAAATGGAGAAATGGCACCACAGAAGAGCCCAACAACAAGGCAATCGTGAAGCTTCAGTCAAAACTGCTCACACAAAAAACCCACAGTTTTTGATCCCATACTCAGCAAATATTCCTGTGCATAGCTTTCATCTTGATGAACCATTGCACACCAGCCTTGACACTCTCAAAGCCAAGCAATCTTCATGCATGCACGTTCTAAACCAGAACACAACAAGCAGACCTGTCATCCTCAGCTCTTGGGCTGACTCCCGTTTGCAAACATAAAACTAAACATAAGCCCTCGGATGTATTTACAGGCTTGTAAAGTTAGCCAAATTCACCAGAATGCCTGGGTTTTGGGGCAACAAAATCCAAGAAACCTGTTCAGGAAGTGCTCTGCCTTTTGGCTGAACTCCCATCCCTTTCCCCTGAACTGTGAGGTGCTAACTGAAACAGAAAGCAACTACAGCTGCTATCATACAACACTGTTAGCTGCCAATATGGTTTTCTTCCTGAGCAAAGTTCCACTGACACCACGGCAAAGAAAACAATGTGGAATACTGAAAACACTCATAAGTCTCAGGAACCCAAGGAAAACACAACATCCCTACCACAACAGGAGTTAAAATTTAAAAAGCAATTCAAAGCCAGCAATGCTGAAACCAAAAATTTTACATTCAGAAATTACTCAACTCAGGGTAGAACAGTGACTGGGAGGTCAGTTAATTGAGTCGTGACACTGAGCCGCACTGGAGGCTCCAGGATTGCCGGTTCTCACCCTCTTTCCAAGTGCTTTGACACAGCTTTGCATTCCAGAAAAAAAAAACCAGCTCCTTTTCTACTCCAAGAGAAAGGATACAAGCCAGCCACATCACAAGCAGGATCCCACTGCTTATGGGCTGGCTACACCTGATGAGTTCAGCAGCCCCTTCTATAGCTTATTC